TAACCAGTAATTTACAGCATTGACAGGTTTATAAAACATACATTATATTAATTAAATCGATTTTTTTATTTACCTGCACGGAAAGAGCTTAATAACTTTTATATAACTGTTCAAAAGTTTAGAGTCAGAATGATTTTTGAAGCAAATAAATAATTGTATTCAGCATTAATTAAAAGATGCATTCCTTTAATTAAAATTGACAATAAAGACAATTGTAATAAAATATGTCTACAACAAATAAATGCTATGCTGTTTTCAACACCGATAATAACAAATGTTACTTGAGCACAACATATCCATATAAATGCAGTTTCATGGCATATTTATGGCTAGTAAAATGTCAACTGCTATACAAAATCTGCTCATGTTCTGTGTGATTTGTAATCACATACTGTACATTTCAGGAAAAAAAGCTAGCTTTTTACAATAAAATAATTCCACCTTCACATATAATACACAATCCACTGTTATACACAATAGATATTGTCTGCTTAACATCATGAAGACTGGAATGACTCAGAATATGCTCAAATATCAGACTCGAATGAATGTCGACCACAACGACAACACAATAAAACAGCATATCACCTCTAAATTCAGTTCACAAATCCATAAAATTCAACAATCCCTACAAATCAACATCTCTACAAATCACTGAACATGCATCACGGAGCGGGCTTCCTAAATGTATGTCAGCCAGCTGTTACATGCCAAAACAAGCCTCTATCACACAATCCTTCATTACGACAACCCGTAGGATCATCATATTATTCCAGATGAAATCCCTGGCGTCTGAAAGAATGATCGCTTGTGTCAGATCCTGAAAATAGCAGAAATCTGCAGCCTGCTTTTTGATTCTTTCTGGGCACAAAGTAGAACAAGTGTGCCTGCCAGGGCTGTCATTACCCTTGGCTTCAATTAACATCAAATGAACATCAAAACTAAAATAGCCTGATTTTAAAAAGCCAGCAGCAACCGAGCAGAGCGGGTGCACATTAAAGCATTTATGCAATCGAGCTATAGGGAGAGAGATCCACTTGTTTGCCAGATCGTACGCATGAGAGGACACACACTGACAAGACAGAGCGATGCTTTCACAAGCAAATGAAGAGGGAGGTCTTGATATTTTGAGTGGGCCTGAAGAGACAGAGAGCATGCTGCATTGCACAGACAGAGCGCGGTTCTCTTGGCATCGCTCAGAACTTTTTTCGCTTGATTTTAAGCAACGACAACAATTACATCCTTTTGCTGCCGAGTGCAGTTTTTGAGTCTGACCCACGAATCCCTCAAACTAGAGCAGCCAAAACCAATCTCCTCTCAACGCTTTTTTATATTACTCCTCTCAGCGTGCATGAGATGTCTTTTTCAAGTGCAGCGACTTCAAAGCGAGGACGAGAGTCCCAGTGGGAACGAGGAGGAAGTAGAGAAGATAACATTGAAGCGTTTGGGGTGATGCGCGTTCGCCAAGTTCCCTCCGCTGTTCCGCAGGGAAACCACTCTTGGAGGAGAAACCACATGCTTTCTTTTCTTATAAAGGATGTAAACTACATCCTAATGAGCGAAAGAGACTATAAATAATTTGCGACGTATTTTTAGGAGCTGACAAGGCATTGTGGGGTCATTATGCTCCTTTTGATGTGAATCTGGTTTGCTTTTTGTTATCGAGAACTAATTAAATGTCTTGTGAATTGCATTGTACAAAAACAAAAGTACAGTAAAGCACATTTAAATAATTTAAGCAACAGTTCACTCAAAAATGAAAATTCTGTCATAATTTACTCACCCTCATGTTGTTCCGAACCTGAATGGCTTTCTTTCTTCTGTGGAACATGAGAACTGTTTTTGTCAATGGGGACCAAAACAACATTGAACACCACTGACTTTCATTGCACAGAATAAAAATTAAAAATATTAATTTTGTGTTCCACAAAAGAAAGAAAGTATATTTTATTTCTTAAATACAAGGATTTTGAATATAAGTCAAAAACAAGTGATTTTTACCCGCATCTAGCGGTGAAAAGGTATATGACTATCCAGTGAATAATAGTTTCAGTTCTTCTCAATTCCGATTTCATTTTAACTCCTACGGTGGCCAATGTAGTCCAAGATTAACATGGCTTCCAGTTCGACCTCGCCCATGAGTGTTAACTCAAACGTAAACGCGAAAGGCGAAGCTTGAATTAACGGGTATGTCCCTCTTTGGCTAATGTACTTTCAAGATGGAGGGGCAACATGGCGACCGACATTAGAACCCCTTACCCGTATGTATTTTCAATGGCATATTATACACTCACGAGAATACTTTATTCCTTGAACGAAGTAAATATACAGTACATTAATGAGCATATATTTTTGAAAGAAAGACACGGTTTTTAGACACGGTACTCGGCGGAGGAGGTGAGGGAGAGGAAGAAAGCGGTTGACCGAGCGAGGAACAGCATAAGAATAAATATTTGGTCGTGCGTTTACGGAATGGCGAGTACTAAAGGACATAAAATCCTGCAAAACAGATGCTGATCTAGCGTTTCTGTGTCAATAAAATTGTTTATACTTTGGTCGACTAAGTCATGATCTATAATTGTTCTTTAATAACATGTAAAACATTGATTGTATCCCGTCTACATTAGAAAAGAATGCAATGTGAGCTTTGTCTGTACAATATAAGATAAACTTCATTACAATTTCATTTGGGGGTAGATTAATCTATAACTAGATAAGAATAAGCGGAAATGTTTGCTGGATTCATCCGCCCACCCCCTGTTACGGATTATGGTTGATAACGGAATACAACATGTACATGTCAATGTTTAATGATACTGTGTAGGATGTATTACCCACCTCGGTAGACTAGTAGACATAGCTCCACACAATAAAATTGGAGTGTCTCGGACTCAGTGTTCAACACACCGGATCCGACAATAACAAAAGCACATGAGCGCGTCTACGGTAGAAAGGGGAGGAGGGCGCCGCAATTGAATTTACAGTATGTCAGTGTTGTGAAATATTCGCACCACAGCTGTAGGGGGAGCTCGTTGAGAAAACATGCGACAAGTGAAAATCAGCGAATAAGTGGCTAGAGTTACCGAATGGCCCTTTAATATTGAGCAATATTAATGATTTGGCTGCACTGACACTATCCGATAAGAACAAAGATGACATCTCTGCTATCTCTGTTTTGTCCAGAGCTGCTTTATAGTAAAATTGAACTCATTTCATCATTGATGAACTTTACACAGCTTTTGAACAGAACAGAACAGAATCAAAACTGTACTGACCTGAACAATGATACTATTGTCTTTTGAGAACTGCTTTACAGTCGAATTGAACTTTGTTTACATCATTGATTATTATTTCCTGATCACTGTAAAGCTCCTTTGAAACAATCTGTATTGTATAAAGAGCTTTATAAATAAAGGTGACCAGATTACTCACTCCTGTTTTCTTTTTGTTTATACTGTCTCTGCACTACTGCCCGTCACAAGTTATAAAGCTTTTAACGCATTACATGTAGTTACTGTAGTAATAACTATAAATTATGCATAATTACATGCAACTTACCCTAAACCATACCCCACTCCTAAACCCATAGTAAGTACATTATTATTATAATAATTATTTATTACACAGTACTTAAATGCATAATTACACTAACACAGACACCTTAAAGGAGAACTCCGGCGCAAAATGATCCTTTGGTCTAATAAAACATCGGTACCTAGTCGACCGTTCTCTGAGATTTGTTTTCATGATAATCGAATGTAAAGAGTTTTATCTCTAAAAACTGTTTAGCATACACGCTAGTAATGGGGGCATTTACTAAGTAAAAAGAAATCGCTAGTTAATACCACTAACAAGGCTAAAAAAAGCCCCACACTAACACAGTAACATAATGAGGGTCCATACATACAAAATGAAGCATTGAGAACTCTGTAAGTGTACAGACCGTTTAATATGAAGGTATTTAGTGCACTTTGTGTATACAGGCAGGAGCCATCTTGGAAAACAGTCACGACAAGTCAAACCACGAACGTCGTGCTGAGTGATCTGAACTGTATGAAGTTCAGTGAACTTCTGAACTGTATGAACGGCATTCGGGGATCGACTTATCAAGACTATTTTCTAAGATGGCTCCTGCCTGTATTCACGAAGTGAACTGTCTTTTTAAAATATCTTCATATTAAATGGTCTGTACACTTACCGAGTTCTCGATTCTTCATTTTGCATGTATGGACCCTCATTATGTTACTGTGTTAGTGTGGGGCTATTTTGAGCCTTGTTAGTGGTATTAACTAGCAATTTCTTTTTACTTAGTAAATGCCCCCATTACTAGCGTTACACGCTAAACTTTAAACTCTAAAGTAAAACTCTAAAAACTCAAAAGTTTTTAGAGAGTAAACTCATTACATTCAATTATCATGAAAACAAATCTCAGAGAACGATTGACTAGGTACCGATGTTTTATTAGACCAAAGGTTCATTTTGCGCCTGAGTTCTCCTTTAAAATAAAGCTCAAGCGTAAACAAAGCAATTCACACAAAATCACACATAAAATATTTACATTTTCAAAAATGTTCAATTCAAACACAACCATATTCACTTATTGGTCTTTTAACTGTGGCATCATGGACACGTCCCAACTGTCCATATCCAAATCTACATCTACAGTCAACTCAATTCATTTTCAGGAAGATTTGTATCCATTCTAGCGTTCTGCATGTGTGCTAAAAGAGCTGTGCTGTGTGACTAGGGTGACATGATTTATAATGATGGATTTTGGAGGAGGGAAACACACTCCACATGAAGCTCATATCCTGGTTGGCGTTCGAAGCGCTCTTTAAGATGCTACAATCTGATTAGAATCTACATGGAAATAAAATATGACATGCATCCATTTTCTCTGTTCTTTTTTGACGCCAACTCATTTATTCCCCATTTCTTCTGCTGTTGAATTCTTTAAGAAGGGGCCAAATAAAACAGCTTTAATGACAGAGTAGAGTTACCTGCTGCTGGATTTCTCAGTCTTAAATCTCGTCAGACAGTCGCAGGAACAGCACCACACCAGAGAGAAACACCTGAAAGAGAAAAAGAGAATGGGATATAGAGATTTAGGGCACCGGGTTCAGATATGAGAGTATAAACTTTCTGGCCCAGCAGTCATCCACTAATTGAAACTGATAGAGATGTTTAATTTTCTATTCTTTAAGAAAGAGAAAAATACCCTCACCCATTGCTTTTCACCCACCCTTAATTTTAACCTATAGCACACTTGTAAAACATCAGATGCATTAATAAATAATTCATTCATTGACTTCAAAGGTTCTTGCGCCTGTCAAAGAATATTCCAGTGAAGTCAGTTAAAAGAAACTCTTGTCATCTGGTGACAGGCTTTGTGATTTATAAACGAGGTGACAACAAAGAGTCATGTTTCAGACAGTTTGAAGGTCTTGATTCATGGATTACTGAAGCTTATTTTAGAGGTCAAACTCATCAGGAGGATTGCAGCTACATATCAGATATATAGGAGGAGGAGACAGGCGAAGTGGACGAGTGTGATTTTTCTATCCCTGACATTTCCTGTCTCATCATGTGCTCATGCTTATTGTGTTTGAACACTTAGTAAGAAAAATGTGACAGCGAAGGAAAAGTAAAGTATTGTGTGTGTGTGTGTGTGTGCCAGAGAGATTGTCCTCAACCACCCTAACAACACTAAGTGTACTTTGAGAGTGAGTGAGTGATTGCATTTCTGGGTTTCTGTTAGCTGAAGTAATGTCTTTAGACTCCATCCTACAGAGAATGATATGAAAGATTTATTCTCTTACTCCAGCAAACTTGGAGTAAAAAACAGATAAACTCTACCTTTTGTACGTTCAAGTACGTCTACAGGTTTGTCATTTGGTAACCTGGACCCTGTTTGTTGTATATTTCTTAACAATTGCAAGATAGAAATGACATGTGGATCTTTATGAAATGTTTCAACAAAGTTATCTTTGTATTCGAGTTGGTTTCATATGCTTAAAACCTTTTAAAAAAAAACATATTCAAGACAAATTTAAATTCTAAAATTGTCATGTGATGTACTGTAAGTGTACACATATGGCAGATTTTACCCAAAGAAACTTAAACTGCATTCAAGCTACATTGGTTTTTCGATGCATGCATTGCCTAGAAACTGAACCCATGCTTTTAGTGTTGCTAGCACCATGCTTACAGTTTAAACTACAGAAAGGCTTTTTGAAAATAATAAAATGACAAAACGCAAAAATCATCAAGCACTGTGTCTGCTAAATCTGTCCTCATTAATCCGAAAGAATTTGGTTAGTTGAAAGTTACCTGTCCACTCCTTCTCAACTCAAACTCTAAAACAAGGTGCCAGTGATGGACCTTCAAGAGCAGTTTGAAATGTCTCTTCACGCAGCGCTGAGGCCACATGTGCCTTTGTCAGTAGGTCACCTGTTCTGTCCAAGTGCTCTGCTATCAACATTGGTTTCCTCACCCGTCCCGACCTTCAGATTGTGCTACGTGTACAGAGTGCGTGACATTTTAAAGAGGTGACAGCAATAGCGCAATGAAACAGTGTTGCTCCCAACACATCAGATTCCTTCTGTTATATTAAAAGCCAACTGTCTCTGGTAGACAGGAGCTCTTCCAGGCTTTCCTGACATCTCTTTCAAGCAAAAGCTGGCACTCATTGTTTTGGCACATCACCTTGGAATAGACATCCAGGGTTAAAATGACCATACAGGTACTAACACAACAAATATTAGCATGGTGAGTAATTATTTTACATTTGAAATAACACAATGGGTGATTTCCCCATTGAAACCTGGATTTAAAAAAAGAAAAAAAATATTAAAATAAATGAATAACACAGTTTCACTCAAAGTTGTATGTCAGTGTTCTGTATTAAATTAAGAAAAAATAAATAGAACTCACTGCTACATATTGTTTTTATTTATTTATTTATGTTTCACATTATATATATGGTCTTTATTCTCTTAAAATATATTTCCCCCTATTTCCTTTAAAATATATTTTCTTACTTTTTCCTTTTGATTTTGAGGACAAAACTGTTCTTGACAGCCTTGTGATTGGTTGATTGGGTTTATTTTTTTACCAGTAGATAATCTCCTTTCTAGTCAATGCTGTCTTTAATAGTATCTCTCTTGTTTTTAGGATTACATGACGACACTGTTGTTCAGCAGAAATGGCTTGCGGGAATGAACTAAAATGCAGCTACGCAGTCTAAAACGACACCTGTCATTACATAAATTATTACGCAAGGCCACAGAGCTGAACAGATTGAGAGGCATTGGAGTCACAAGACCACAGTTTCCTTGACTGACCCGAATCTGTTTTAGAAGCACTGGCACAATCTCTGATAAAACTGAGAGAAAACTATCTTTTACAGCTAATATGCCAAAGGTTGCCAGACACTTTGGAATTTATTAGTTATCTGCACAGACAGAGACAGAGAGAGAGATCAGGGTAAAGAACAAAAGAGAGACAACAGAGACTTGTGGACTTCAATCTGAATGAGTATGCGGTAAAAGGGGCAAAAGGGCATCACATATTTGTTTTTTGGAGGAGTGGATTAGACAGACAGAAAAAAAAAATGATTCTAGAAGACAAATTGTCATAGCAGGATGACCACTGACATCCACCCATCATTTCCTAATGGATGATGACCCTGTAAAGGCTAAAGGTCACCCTTATCCCCCCTCAACCTGGCCTATCTAAATAGGACCACCCTCTAGTGACACAAGATGAAGCACCTCTACCCAGTGAACTCTGCAAAACAATCTTCTATAGTGGGGGTCCAATTGAGATAGACTGGGAGGTCTAGGGGGGGAAAAGTGTCTGTATGCATAAGAAAGAAAGGAGGGAGGTGGAGAAAAAGTGACAGAGACTGACACAGAAATAAAGAGAGATATAAACAGATATGTAGAATACTGGCAATACAATTGTCACATGAGTAAGTGTGTGTATATCTTTCAACGGGGTGACTTTTGGTTGTGTGTATTCTTTATGTCAACACCCTTTCCAAAATAGCAATCTAAAAACCCAAGCAGATGGGCTCCTTCACTAAATGACCAAAAAATGGACCAATCCATATAACATAATGGAAAAACAGCCACCAAACTCAAATGTCAAGAGATCTGTCATCCAGACAATTGACTCACCTTAAAATGGGTGTTATTTTCTGTAGCAACAAATGGAACAAAAATGAGAAAGGAAAAGAAAAAGCTTAACAGATTTCAAAACACTCACTTTGCCAAGGTCCCTTTTAAAGCAGCCATATTGGTTACACCTCATGATATGCACTTGAATGGGGAAAGACTAAAATTTCTAAAACTGTCAATGTTATGTTTAAATAACATATTTCATATCAGGCACACAATCTGCAATCAACAGTTTCATAAAAAAAAAAGCTAAATACAACATGCATAAGCAATGCTCTTATCGCTTGTTTCTGCTTCTTCTTCGCCTGTGTCTGTGATCCGGATATTGCCATATAACAGTAGAAACTTCGGGACTATCGGAAAATTCAATTGGGGGGAAAAGTTAAGAGTAAGCAAACAGTTGGTGAAGAAAAGGTTAGGGTTCTTTTAACTGTAAGATGGAGATGCAGCGTCATATTAAATAAAACAATATCCCATTTCGCATTTAGAATCAGCACAAAATTAAATCTTGAGGAAGAGTCACACAACAGATCCGAGTAATTTAGATTCATCCACCTTTATACCTTAAACGCATCCCTCAGGTCTTTATTGCCCTATGACGCATTTACTACCCTCCCCCTTATATCAGGCACATAATCGTATACATATTTAGATTGTGCAACTTATACAACATGTATACACTTTTTTAAAGTTTGACATCATCCCAAGTATTCCTCAATCTATTCATTATTAACAATATTAGAAGAAAAGTTCCTTTATATGCTCTTTTTCCACTCTTTTTCCGCAACAGTCAAGCAGTCTCACCCTAAACCAGGTTTTGAAAGTGTAAAATAACCTAATTTTTTACACTGGATAGCTTGAACAAATCTAAGGGACAAACTAGTACAAAAAAGTTTTCAATTTTGTCATTGAAAAAAGATATAGCTACCTTTAAAATGTGTTTAACTCAATCACTAGAACTGCAAAATTAGCTAATCTTTTCAAACAGGTTTCCTGAACAATGTTGCTTTCTATCATTGGTCAAGTCTGACAGATAGCCCCGCCCCAAATTCAAGCAATTGGTTGAGTCAGTGTTGCTATGTAGGCTGGTCGGAATGCTCAAACAAATAATTTGAAAGCGCTACAGAGCCACAACAAATGGCAACGAATGACTGGCTTGCAGTTGTAGAAAGTATTACAAAATTACAATTTTTTTTGTCTATGTCTCCCGGCTGGCCTGGGAACGCCTCGTGTCCCCCCAGAAGAGCTGGAGGAAGTGTCTAGGGAGAGGGAAGTCTGGGCATCTCTGCTTAGACTGCTGCCCCGCGACCCGGCCCCGGATGAGCGGAAGAAGATGGATGGACAATTTTATTTTTTTAAATACAAAATCTACCACCTAAACAGACAGATGGCAAGAAAGACAATACACATACACACATTCCCAACTGGCAGACAGGGAGCATCACCTATGTCATCCGTGTCGAAAGGCCACGCCACACCACCCGCGGTAGCCATAACTGTAGACTAAAATAAGCCGTGAGTAACAGGCAGCCGGGCCAACAGGGACGAAGCGGGTGACTAAACACGACACGGCACTGGCTTTAGCCGAGATGAGAGGAGAGAGGGGATGAATCACGGGAACAGGCGATCCCTGGAGGAAAGCCCCTGCACTCAGAACACTCCGTCCTTGGGAGCTGAGGATTGATGGGAATCGAGTGATAAAAATCAAACTGTCCTTGAGTCCCCTGAGCCTGAGACATGGATGTACTTGCTGAAGTGTGTGCCGCAATGACATGTTTCCCCCGTGGGTTCAGAGGCTGATGCAGGATAGGCCTGTGTCAGGATTTTGTCTGAACCCTTACTCCAGCTATCAGCGGAAAGATGTATTAGGAAGGGAGGCGGATTTGGAAATG